AATTTTAAAATGCTTCCTATTGATAGATTAATATTTTTCCTATTTTAATATCGCAGTACTAATCAGTAATTAGCAATTAGAGAATTACCCAAATGTGTCGGGTTGGCCCGGACAGCCTACCTTCGTATGTCTCGGGTACCCGCTCGAGTTCGCTTGAATTTTACGAACCCAATCCAACTAAACTGATAGAATTTAAATGTGTGTGCTCCTCGTGCAATATTCGCAGCAAACGGTACAGTATATTGCAATTCGTAGTTAATATGTCATTACACGAATTAAATTCATTAAATTAATGTATAGAAAGGTCATATACAGGAACCCTTTGATCGCACGTATTACTGGCCAGCGTTGCGTTATTAATTGCTCCCTTTCTCTCCGTTCGAAAATCGGCAACGGTCAATTCATTAATTTTACTTGTTGATTTTCCTAATATTTCCTGAATTTTAATGCGTCGTTCCGTCCCACTCCTGTCGTTTTTATATGCAAATGTAATTAGTTTTCGCGTACGAGCGCCGCGGCAATTTCCGAGGTTATACCCAGTATCCTGTTACGGTAATTTCGATTTCATTTAACTTCCACGCGATTCAATCGAACAGCCTATTCCGATTTCTTTCCGGGATTAATGTCTTCGTCAGATTTATTCATATATTATGGATCACGAACGGCTGAACGCGGCTTATTTCGTGTCCGTAATGAATAGGATTCATTAATCGTATCGATTACACGGGTCGATACAGAGTCAAGTGATTCCGTGCCGGCAATTGTTTAACTGGGGATATTTCTTCGCGTACTTCATTCTCAGTATCGGTGGTCGAACATTTAAAAATATATGTTCATACACGTAATTGTTAAAATGAATGTACGTCCAATTGGTTACAATCGTATTTTAATACGTTTCAAATATGTTAATTGCAAATTCTTCAAAATCTGCAATTAATAATGCAATAGAAATATGCAAAACTATAGAACATAGAATAATGCAATAAAATTGATTATCATGTAAATCGATTTATTTATTAAAAATGTTATGGTATAGCGTATCGATTTGTCGTGGTTCTTCGTTTATGAAATTACTGAAGGATTTTTCAAGTTTTTGGAAATACTTTACAAAGAACTAATTGCAAAATGATTTTACAAGTAATAATATAAACAATATTTAATTATGTTTCTTATAATTCGTAGAGGATATTTAGAATAGGTATTCATAGTAAATATAACGTTCATTTCAAATTGTAAAGCTTACGCGAATAATATTAAAAACTGAAGAAACAAGAAATTTTGATATTGATAATTTATTCCGTGAATTGGTTTAAATTAACAGTTAAATTAATAGCTAAAAAGTTTTCAACTGACACAGAGGAATATGTCTGGGTCTTTATCAAAATTTTAACGATACCTATTTTAGACAATCGCCTATGCTATAAATGGTAAAAATAAAAAATTATGGAACAGTATCAATACAAGGATGTAATTGAATATTATTAAAAAGGGTACATTTACAGTAAAAATTCAGCTGAAGTCTGTACAATTTTAACATTTATACACTGTCAAAATTGTATTGTACAATGTCTCTCTTGTTTCTTCTATTCTGACAACAACACGTGCATCGAATTCATATATTTGATTACAAGAAAGCAGGAAAATAGGAATCACATTCTTGAATTGGGTCTTGCAATTTCTTTTTTACATTTGTACGTGTTGTAAAGCGCGGAGCACGCACCAATCGTAAAGACAAGAATCAAGTTTCCCATACGTAAAGGGAAGCCGAACAAATCTACAAGAAACCTTTGGAACGATATATTTTAAATTGGACGGGTATCGTTTCTCCTTTTTCTTCAATTCTCTTAGAGCGACGGTGCTAAAGTGCACATGTAGGTACGCTAACATAAATTGATACACGTCAGCCAGGCGGTGTCCCTCGAGCGAAATCAATTAAGACGGTGTGTTTCGCCTTACTTTGTCAAATTAGATCGCGAAAGAAAACCGTTATTCGTACGTTTTCATTAGCTATCTTGCTCGTATGCCCGTGATTCAAGGCACTTTTGTTACATTTTCAAGCTTTATTGAACGTTTAGTAGCCACCGTCGCGCTTTCATTTTCCGTCGCGGTCCAGTAACTTTAATATTAAGTAATCCAATAGACAAAACGAACTTTCTTTCATGTATGGCCGGGTTTAATTCGCGAAATTCCTTAATCCGCAATTTCACTGAAAACGAGGAAGCAACATTGCCCACGAAATTTATTTCTTTGGGAAATTTCAGAAGTAAGACTATGAAATCCGGATTAAGTGAAACGGAACGAATTGTCCATTGAACTATGCAATTGTTTCGCTATGTGTTCCGCCCTCAATTTCGAATCTTTTTAGACGTTTGAAATTAAACGTAACTTGCGATCATGGTCTTTCATGTTGTGAATGTACTATACATATATCTATTGAATCGTTCGGAAAGTTTGTGGTGTTTCGAGCACAGTGTCTTAGTTACCTTTTTATTGGACGACGGAAAAATCGTTTCATCAGGTGAACAGGTACTATTTTCCAGGTGTGAATTGAATGTACTTGTTGTGTAAGTTACTAAAACTACTGACTTACTACAAAACAACTTTCGTGAGAACATTTTTTTGATTCCTTTAGCTCCCTATGATATATTGTACCAGTTATAGTTAAAATAGATACCCTGTCTATACAAGAAAATTAATTGAAAAATACAAAGAAACTGCAGAAGTAGTGAATAAGAATATAAGAATAAAAGACTGGTCATTTAACACGTTCCGTGCCACAGTGAAAAAGGCCGTACGTAGCCAGACAATCTATATGTCGTTCTTCAAGTCATAAATTACCGAAAATGTGTGTCTTTTGTTAATAGAGGCTGTTGGTCTTGTTTTAAACTACAGTTCAACATTAAGACGTTCCGTGCCATATGTACCACCGATGGTACACGTCAAATTTCCCATTTAGGCTGCGTGTACCACCGGTGGTACATGTGGCACAGAACGTGTTAATCATGTTTTTGGTACCGTAAGTTGGGGTAACTTAGACTCACAATCAGTCAGGGAAACTTTGGCCCAAGTCAGAAAATGATAATTTTCGATTTTGCAGTTCTGCAAGTTTGAATTAAATTTTACGTAAAAAGATATTTCACATAAAAATACCTGCGCACGAGTTGTAAAATCGAAAATGATAATTTTCCGATTTTAGGACAAAGTTACCGCTGCCTAAATAAAAGTTACCCCAATTAGTGAATACGAATTGAGACTACACGCGATTGAAATTTATCCACGTGAGTTGTTTCCATATTTACATAATTTTTCAATATTTAATTTATAATTCTTTCTTCAGTTGTGTATACACTGTTTGTATTCATGGCTGAAAATAATATCTAGGCCGGATGAAGCTTAAAATTATACAACGGCCCATGCCGCATAAGGCAGGGAGTTCGTATACAAGAACCGGTATTTACTTCCTGTTCCGTACATGTAGCGTTTTTGATTCGTCCGATTTATGTACGATTAAAGCAAACGGATCCACCTATCGCGTGATTTAATAATGGAAGAAAGTACACAAAAACTCGATTTCCTCTATCAATACCTGCAGGCCAGGGCGTCGACGTCGACTATCGCAAATCCTCTTATAAATCGCCTGAAATCTCTTTTACACTGATGCCAGCTTCTGCTGTTTCGGATGTAAACTGTCTATTACTCATGGGATTCGACGATAAATCGGTCGAACCCGATGAGAGACTTGATTTTTTAAATTTGCACCCCTGTTATCGATGTATAGCAAAAAATTCACGAATTTTTCGAATTTACGAGCCACCTACTTCCCGGCCACGAATACATGGGACTATTATAAATGCATACATAGCACGCTTGACCACGCAGAGTTGCAATAGTGTTTGCAATGCAAACTATGTTTCGTGAGCCTTCCTAACTCGGTCTCGCATTTCTAAACTCTAGTATCAGCTGCATAGCATCGACTCGCTTATTAGAATACATGTATACCAACAACTGATTGTTCTAAGAGATTGCACACAACTCTTTTATGCTAAACGGTTGCAATTGTCGTACTAAAACTTTTCTTCAACATTGTTTCACCCTTTTGCGTTTGTGGTGGTTATAGACGTTCAATTTTTGGATTTGGACGGTATTTACACTACCGTTTAAAAGTTTGGAAGCAGTTAAATAAAATCGTAAAGTCAAGTTACAGATTTATAGGTTTTTTACAGATTTTATGCAAAATTAATATATCACGTACATGTAACAAAAAAACTGATCTTTCTATTAAATTCTTGCTTCATCAAAATGACCACTTTTATTTTTAATAAGTTTCAAACAAATTTTGGGTATCCTAATTGTTAATTTGTGAAAATGTCTTTGACATAAATTTTCTTATTCTGCTATAAAATACAGCCAGAATTGTGAGGCATACATAAAAAATAACAGAACATCTACGTATGGAACGTTAAGAGAAGAAATTTTTTCTGCAAACAGGTCAATTTGCAATAAACTTCTTTGCAGTCGGTTACTTTCAACATATTACCAAAGGATTGTTTGTTTGACTAAAAAATATGACTGCTTTTACATTTTTTGACGGTAGTCTACATGGCGACTACTCCCAATTTTTTAGTTATGTAATAAAAAAGAGTCTTACAGACTTCAACAATTATTGCAATTACATTTCACTAATTACGGATACAATCTATGAAGAATTTTTCGCGATTTTTATTATGTCTACACTGTTATTTAATCAAGCCAGAAATAATTATTGCAACGTTCTTGTAGATTGAAATTCCAGTTTTTCTTATGAAACTATTTACATAAAGCTTTCTTTATAACCTGATATCAAGTAAAAATATGTTTCTATTAGCATAGTTTATTCAAATAGAGTTATTACATTCTCATGAGTGCTTTTAGTTCAGACGGGCGTATAAAAATTTTAATTTAGTTTTCTTTCGTGCGAAAATTAACCCGAGACGAGCGAGAACCCGTGGGTACGTAAAAATTCAAGTATGAAAAGGAACGAGTGTCGAGACTAAAGGAAGTTTAGTTTTACCTTTTAACGTTGACGCGTTGCTCGTCGGCGGTTTTGTTGTATAATTTCCTTCCTCGTCCACAAATACGTAGCTCGCGTTAAATCCCGTGCCGTCGTATCTGTCGTTACTTTTGAAAGTCACGCGAAAGAACTTCCTGTCGCTCGCTATGTCGAACTCCTTCGACTGACCACAATGCCTCGGGTACTTCCGGTCCCTGGTCATGTAATTTGAAAATTCGACGAAGTCACTCGCGGACACCGGGTCGCATCTGTAAAAAGCACAATTATATTTACTTTGACATCCTTTATTTAGTTGCAGACTTATTTAAGAAGCTTATAAATTTGTTGCCCAAAACAATTTTTGGATCATATATTGCAGTCGCTATGCCCGTCAATATGGAGTATAATTTTTACAAAGTACTCTGAATAAAATTAGGTGCTAGCATCGTATGGGAAAGGTGTCAATTTATCAGTTAAAAAATGTCGAGCATTTGTTTCATTTTTTCGTTTGTTTGATGTAACAGAACTGTTTCCTGTGGCGATCCTCTAAGTCTTTTTATCGGTGTATCAATTAATTAGAGGAAAATTTGTAAATTACAGTTGCATATAGAGGAAAACGTAATTAACTGCAAAAGTGGCAACGTTTGCTGATAATTAATAATTCAATAGGTGGTTGCAATTAGGTGCCTTTTTGGTTCTCAATGTAGTGAACCAACAGAAGTTCATTACACAAGTTTTAATTAATACATTTGGTAATTATTCAGAGCTGGGGCAATTTCATGGATTTCAATGACCTTGAAGTCTGTTGTCAAGGTCAACATTCTGAGTAGGTACTTCTTTCTTATAAATTGTATAACCGTCCGTTGGCCTTAGTTTCAGAGATATAGGCAAAAGTATTTTTAAACGGAAAAATTCTAATAGGAAACGTTGATACTTGTCTCGTATCAGTAATCAGTAGACAGCGGCTTTCTATGCAAAATAACATTTTCTAAAGTGAGGTATAATGACAGAAGCAAATGTAGAAATTTATATTTCCTCTTAAGTATCTTATTGGGTTCAGAATAAAATAGAAAACTCGTTAGATCCGATAACAGTGTCATCCTTGAGCCGTAGGAGCATGGCTCCACAGGAGTCTAGAGGTGTACGCGGGGATAAAAATTAGCATAGTGGGGGGCCCGCTATGCCCACGCGTCGCATAACGAGACCCGAATCTTCAGTTGAGCGGCAACCGTTAATATCGTGGTATCGTGTAGTGAGTAGTGTATTGAGCGGAATAGTGGGTAGCGGCACCCCTGCAAGATATAGGTGAAAGCCGAGCGAGCCAGGATTATCTTACTCCCGTAGGTAAGCCTTCTCATTTTGTTTCCAACGGGCAAACCTTGATCTCGTATTCGCCAGGACAAAGCCGCGATAGTCGAGATATCGTTAAATATCGCTAACAGGCGCACGGAGTGAACACGTGATTGTCGGGAGAATTAAATTATCGTAAACTCCTCGCAGATTTCCTTCAAGACGCGATAGAATAACGCGGAAAGCCCTCAAGTCAATGTAACATCTTTTGTAGTCGGCGGTAATGAAATTCCGTACGACCTTGTATTGTAACGGCTGAATTAATATTTCGAGTGATAGCGGACCACTGAATTGCCGAAATTGACGATTGTACCGAATACGCGGGTCGCGACGATAGTAGACCGTCCAACCACTGTTTGTTAACCCTCCGAGCACGGTCCCTGGGTCACGCGTACGCGAGAGCGACATGCATCAGTGACAGAGTCAGGAGTGGGGACTCCGTCTCGAGAGCGGCAGGCACGCAGGACGGAGCTGCGTGTAAATCGCATAGCGACCGATGTTTGTTTACATGCGAACGACCGGGCCAAGACGCCGCAAGAAGTATTGACTAATAAATATAATTTGTTTTATACTTCACGAGATTTTTATTCTAGTTAGTGTAATAAGAACCACGAAAATCCAAATGTAATGTGGAACCAGCTAATCATTACATTGTATACATGGTGACGGTGGCTCGAGCTCGAGCTCGAGCAACCGCCACTGCGTAGTAATATCGGTGAGGGTCTCGAGCTCGAGCCATACTGGCACTGTGTTAAGCGGCCCATAGACGGTCAATATTATTGTACAATATAGATTGCACAATATTTTGACGGTTGCCCCTAGACGTTCAATAATATTGTGCAATAATTTTGTTTGTGCAATAACTTGAATCGTTTGAAGGCGATATTGAAGGTTGTGCAATATTTTGTGCAACCACGAGCACAGACGGCACGTATATTCTGCAACCTCCTGGAAGCGCAGTGCAAATCAGTCTCCTGGAAGCGCTAGAGAGTTTCATAAAATAAATATAGAGTAATAATAATAATAATAATAATAATAATAATAAGTTAATATAGAGAGTTTCAGACGCGACGCATATTGCGAGCGTAGCGAGGCGGCTCGAACACACGTCGCGGAAAACAGAAGAGCGCGAAGCCCAACCGTCGCGCCTGGACTTGCCATTGTTCGGGACAGTTCGTCGCTGCCCATCTCCAGGTGGAGATCGAATAAATACCATTAACTTAAAACCGATCCTATATTGTCGCCCACCCTACAGAACTGACTGACATTGCGCAATACTGCCAACAGCAGCGCAATATTTTCCCGGTTGCACAATATATTTTCAACATTTCGTCAATCACGCAATATATTGCACAACCTGCAATATCGTCTACATACGATCAATTAAATTGCACAAACCGAAATATTGTGCAATAATATTGACCCTCTATGGGCTGCTTTAGCACAGTGTCGGTGAGGGCCTCGAGCTCGAGCCTCGCCGTCGCTGTGTGGTAGTAGAATATCGGTGTGGGGTCAGAAATGACATAGGGACCGGTAACCATGTTTCTGTGCTCGGAGGGTTAATGCCTGCCACCTTTTGTAACGAGAACTATATTAAGCATTGTTATTTTATTGAGTTAAATCGTCTCGTGAATAGTTTTCTTATCTTTCTTTCCTTCTTTTATGTGTGTGTGCCGTTTGACCGGGATCTCCCGTCGCGGGGAGCGTCTCTCTTTCCGATATTTGCGACCTCTGACCGAATTTAGAGCTATGCAGCGTCGGTTTCTTTTCTTCCCTGCCAGCAGGTCGGCTTCAGCCTCATCGGGGGACTCGGATTTTGGTCCGGTACTTTGGAAATACCGGTCGGCACTCGAGGGAGTGCCTGGTGCCCGGAAAATCGGTTGCGCGACCGGTCGAATTCGCGTGCAACGTAACAGTATAGGCCAGATAAGGTTTTCAATAGTGAATATTTCAAACACACGTTTATGTATGCTGTTACTTCCTGGAACTTCATATACGGATCCGCCAATAAACGTATTCTGTCTTATTATTTATTTTCATCAACACCTACAAAAGATGAGTTCCCATAAACGTCCGTAGCCCAGTTATCATGTAAAAGATGGCCACTGTATTTAGAAGCTCTTAAAATTTATGGACACGACCTACTTCCAGGCGGGGACTGGAAGAGCCTCCAGTGTCATCCGTTCCGTTCTATTATGTATAAAACACAATCACGGATGTATTATTCAAGGATATCAAGTTCGACGGCTGTTCGATAAATTTGTATTTTCGAGAAAAGTTGTACATTATACAATCCCTCGGTAAATTGATATACATTGGGTAAGGAAGTGTCCGGGGAACAGAACGGCACTGAAATATTCACCTTTCCGCGCGGGGGAATATCGAGGAGAATTCGAATGCTTTTTCTCGGTCTTCTTGCGCGTGCACATAAATTGCTTTCATAGCCGTGGACCGGCAATTCCATAAGTAATTCAATCTTGGCTCTTTCCGCGCATAACTTTAATATACATGCGTACTCGGGCCCGTGCAGCGCGCGGCTTTACAATCAGGATCCTTCGGATATTCCCGCCCTCAGATTTTATTCCGTTCTTCGTGCCCCATAAATATTTCCCGCCGGTTTCGCTGGAGTCAACGAATCCTTCCCCCCCCCCTTCGCTCCACACCCCTACCACGACGATTACATAAATCCGTAATTAAAGTTCAGGAACGTCGTGGTCCGTCAGAAATAACGTTTTATTTTCCGCGCGACGATCATCCCAGCTCCGCCATGTGCCAAGATCGATTTTTTGCACAGTTCGACTTGGGCGAAAATAACTTTAACGACTAAAGTACATGGTCGAGGCAACGTCACGTCCGACGGTTCAGCCAATTGTTCCCCGTAGAAGCAAAAGAAATGAGACCTTTTAAATCGTCGCTCTGATTAGATTTTGTGTAAAAGAGAATTTTTGCGTCTTCAGTTGCAAGTACATCGCTTTCATTTAATAGTTTTCACTTAATCACTCTGTTAGCTCGAATATTGACGTATGAAGACGAAATGATATAGCAATTGCTGCGTGGTTGCTTAATTAAACGTTATTTATAAAATTTAACTTAGTTTACAGATATAAGTTGAAGCTGGCTATAGACTTGTCTCGATTATCGTCCCGAACTCAGGTCCGCGCCGGGACAATAATCGTATAGAGAGAAATGCTTCAGATCCTCGTAAATTTGTTTTTTGCCCGAAGTCCGAGCCTCGGCAACAAAAGCGGAGAGGCAACAAAGTATACGGTTGACAGGTTCCACGGCCTTCCCCCAGCCAACCCTCCCCAAGTGGTGGGGATAACGCCTGGACAATAATCGTGTAGAACAAGTCAGACGATAATCGAAAGGAATCAGTAGTACAATGAAAACGTAATGTCTTAAGTATACCCTCCGGTTAAAATTTTTGGAAAAATCGTTTTTTTTTATTATGCATTTTTATCGTATAACGTCTCAAGAATGCTATTTGAAAGTTTTAGTCCAATATTCACAGAAATATAGATTCGCAAGTATGTTAATGACCCTAATGCGCCGACCACAAGTTGGAAAAAGTTAATCTCGAAAGTTTATTTCTAATTAATCTTTATTCTGCAACTATTTATAAAGACATTATGTTCTACTAATTACATGTGCTAGAAATATCATCCACTACACAAATCATTGAGGACAATATCCATTATTTCTAAAATATTCGATTTTCGGACATTTTAAAGAACGTGGACCATCTCTTTCGGACTTACCCTATATACTTGATGCAAAAATTGATAATATTTAATGAATAAATTTTTTTTATTTTTCAAGTACCTAGTAATAAGAATCGAAACGGCTTTTTACCATATGTTGTCCCATTGTTTCTTTGTAAAGTCATAAAAATCATGTTCTTTTCGAGCATTTTGACCGG